TGTTATTTTCCGCCTTGGCCCTGTAATTGAGTTGTGTGCAAGCTGATCTCTGTGCAGGTAGACTGTAACTTGTATCCGTGTGTCTGCAATCCCTGTCAGCAGACCTTCATCTCTGATGTTCTGTTTTTTACACCCTCCTCTTCCTCAGGGGGACCTCAACACGTATCAGGACATAGACAAGGCCGGTGGATAGGGACGCAGAATAATGGCGTGAAGGTGATTTGGTGTGTTTTCCCCTGTTGTGTTTTGTTTTGGTAGCCTACAGTAATCACTACTAAGTGGCTTTTCAAAGGCAGTTTCAGTCTTGATGCTGTCTTGCCTAATCTTCATTCTGGGTCATTTGTATAGAAGATGCATTTCTTTGATGAGTACTTTTGACATGGCGTGCACACCTGGGTGTGGGTGAAGCTCATGTGATTAGTGGTGTAGTAGTATGTGCTGTTTCCCTGGAAGGAGAAACTGAGACTGCAGTGCAGGATTTACGGAAATTTGTATTGTCAGGCCATTTCTGGCATGAGAAGTAGATGAGCGTGTGCCCCCCTGATGGCTCTGAGCGGGGTATGGGTTAATTCAAGTGACCCGACGGCAGCCATTGCTTTCTTTGCCTTGGTATCCCATTCAGTAGGTAGGGCGTGAATGCTGGAGTCCAGAAATCTGTTTTATCACTGTGACACAGTCCCTTTCAGAGTCAAATAATCCTGATTGAGGCAGTTATGAAGTGAGACCTGTGGGGTCTCTTCTTCATGAACAACAGTAAACTCTGGTTGGCCTTAGTTGAGGGAGATGGGGACAATTGGCTGGGATCCCTTTCCTTGAGACCTGGTGCTTATCCTGTCATCTAAGCTATGTTGTATCAGCTTAGAATTGGTTGTCCTACATTACATAATTTTCTTCCTCCCTGTTTTGCTTCTCTTAGAAAATTAATAGTAATACAATTTCCCTAGTTTATTTAATTGATTATTTGGCTCGATAATACTGTGTCATCAGAACGTCAGAAGAAAATCTTTAAATATTGAAGTCTGAAGGTTGACCTTTAAATCCTTGTTCTTTAAAATGAATTTGAACTTTCTTGCTGATGGCTTTAATTCACTGATGCATCTTAATGGAAAATTGATTTTTTTTCTCCCTAAAGATCACATTTACATAAAAAAAATGGAAATGATATTTTAAGAAAAGGTTTGCTAACAAAATGAAAACAATGTCTTTGATGTATGCCCTGGGTTTCAGGTTTTTAAATAATTTTCATTAAGGAAAGGCTCATGATAAAGCTGTGATTTTTTTCCTCATTAAACTCTGCTATATTGCAAAGAACTGAGCGGTCAGGATCAGACATTAACTATTCTTACTTTACAGAAGACCAACATCATGAAGTGCATTCTCTGCCCTTTATTTTCAAAACTAGTAGGGCTGAAAGTCTTATCCTCTGTTCTCTAAAAAGAAACAAGCCCCAGAAACCAACAAATAAAAAGCCCTCAACATCCTTGTCTTTTCTTAGTGTACTAGGAGATGTAGTATAAATCTTACAAAGCCTAGAGCAAGACTGGCAAAATGCCATTCTCATGAAAGAACGCCATTATAAAGTCAATACCAAATGACTAAGAGTGCCATTAACTTGAAAAGAAGAATGAAAAAATATTTGTTGAACCTGAATAGCATGGGTCAGACTTGGCTTTTCACGCTAAATTCTATTAGGCAAGACTGGAATAAGGTTGCCGTGGCCCTAGCAGTAGCAGGAAGCTTATGCAAAGGTTGAGACTAAGGAGTCTCAAGGATACATCTGAAGTCCTTCAGTGTGAACTGGGGCAGCTCCCTTCTTCTTTCTCTCCTTACTCCTGCTTTTGCTTTAGCCTACATCAAACAGCTGTGGATCATCAAGTGGACGTTCTGGGGACTGAGAAACGTTAAGCTCAGCCCTCCTTTTTCTCTCACAGTGAAGCTCTGATGTGCCAGTTCCCTTCTAATCTCAGCCCACAGACACACCAGGGCCTCTCTGGACTCTCCCCTTTCTTCCTCACTGCTGATACAGAAGATGTTCTTATCATAAAGGAATTATAATCAAAATATTTTGAGAGATGTGTGGGGGGTGGGGAAAGAGAACAGAGTGTGAGGAGAGAGGGAATTTGGTAGCTGCATGACTTCCACAGGAATGTGAAAAATGTGGCATTGGGGTAGCAGAAATATCGTTGGGATTAGGGACAACAAAATGAGACAAACTGGCTGCCTTGGCAAAGAGTTGCCTTTGAGAAATGTTAAGGGTGTGGATTTGGCCCCACTGGTGACGTGAGTCACGTTCCCTTGACTGAAACAGTGGATTAGACCTGCAGAATTTTTGGCACCCACACTTTTTATATATATATATACACACACACACGCACACACAGAGAGATATATATGTATACAAACACACAGACCCAACTGTTTTTATGTCTATTTAGCCTGTGTCATTGAAAAGAGGTCGCTATCTGTATTTGCCAGCACTCTATGTGCTGTACATTCTACACCACCACTTCCTCCACGGTGTTTAGGAGAAATCAGCCGACTGATGATGAGTAACAGGCTGCCTGCATGATTATTTACATGACAGGAGGGAAGACTTCTCATCCAGAATTAGTCATACATGCTAAATACCACCTCAGTCTTCATGTATTTTTTTTTTTCATAGGTGGTCCGGTTGTTTCTTGGTTTGCTTTTATCAAGGTATTCTTAGTTTTTCAATTAAAAGAAGAAAAAACAAAACCAAAAACAAACCCTTTGGGGAAATTTAAAGGAAAATATATTTGTGATTTGGTGAAATGAGTCCAATATGACAAACTTTACAGCAAATATGATTTTGGAAGATAGTAAAATAATTTCTCACCTTGACAAAAACATTTTTATTGATAGTACATGGTGAAAATATTTCCTAGTGTGCTTTTTGATAAACAATTCTTTTGAAAACTAACAAATTCCTAAGTCTTTAAAAATTTTTATGATAAAGGCTTTTTTCTTCAACAGTGTTGGACAGAAACTGAAAAATACTAGTCCATCTACATCTATTGCCTCTAAGTCTTCGTCCCCCACAATCCCCTTGGACTTTAACGAGAGGTATTTTTGGAAGGAATTTTAACTTCTAGCATTCAAAATAATGTCTGGAAAAAAACCCTAAAGTTTTGGTCACTGAGTATGTATGATTTCAAAAATTAGGTAAGGCACGGCTTACTGTTATACTGAAATTCAGATAGTTCTAGCTAAGTTTTATGTTAAATTGGTTTCCCATTACATCCATTGGCAGTGCATAGTGTGCCACTATTTACAGCACACTTGCACCTTGCTACTCTCCCGTTACGCTTAATTGTAATGGCAAGCAATATTATAATGCCATTCCTCTCCCTTTCCAGAAATCCATCTATACTGGTATTTGCCCCTGCTCAGATAGCTCTCCCCTCTTTCCTCGCCTTCCAAAATTTTGTGTATGTGTCCATGTACACTTGTACGTTCATCCATAGATATATAAATGCCAAATATTTTGACCAGTCCTGTTTTGAGGCATATGTATAATATAGATATTATTTTACACATATGTGTCTAGGAATATATACATGTATATATTTTTAGGATTCAGAGTTTCTGAAAATGAGATTATTGCAAGGCATTGCAGTCACTAGAATTAAAATGGCAGTACTGAAACACAGAACAATTACAGTTTGTGCTCAGCGCTCAGGGAGTCTGATCCCGCTGAGCTCCTGCTGAGCACTGGAGGAAGCTCAGATAATTCACCGATCATGAACCTTTGCAAAAAGTTGTGAAATGAGACAAAATCCAGCAAGCCAGCTAGAGGACAGGTGAGTGGACTGGTGCTAGAATCTTCTGTGCATGTGCATTTGAAAACAGAATTACTACAGCAGCCAAGGGAATGGAGGTGTTTTGATTTTGGGCTCTTTCAATATGGATAGCTGGAAACATTTACTAAACTAAAGCTTTAATGTTAAAATATAAACAATTTTTTTTTTCTCCCCTGAAGATTTGGTAGTGGAGACCTCCTGGGGATGTAACATTCTCTTTGTCTACAAATACACTGACAGAATGCCTGCACTCAGACCTTGAGACAGTATCTTTGCTTCAGGCAGCTGGAGATTTTTGACTTTTGAAGTTCCCAACTGTGAAGATTTTATTTCAGCAAGAAGTTTTTTTTTTTTTTTTCAGTAAGAACTATTCTTCAAACAAGAAACTTTCTAGTTAGTCCTGGTATCTGTCAAGGTGATTTCATTATCTTACTGTGCCACTGGTTCCAAAGGGCCTTGGCAACATCATTTGAAGTACAGTGAAGTTATTTTTCATAGAGTCAGAATGTTCTTGGCAATCCTGAGAACCGCTAGATTAAGAGTGTACCCAACAGCCTGAAGTATTATCATGTACACTTCTTGGAAACACATATAAATCATGACTATTTTCCATCCCCCCACGCATGCCTACGCAATAACATCCTTAAACTTTTTTCGCTGTACGGTAGAGTCTTGAAATAAAAGCATGCCACGTTTCTCTGGACTTTAAAAGCTCTTCATGCCAGAAGAGCATTATGGTGTTAACACCGAGTGGAAATGAAAGTTTTCACCTTGTGAAAACCAAGAATTTGGGGTAATGTTCTCAGGTGTAAATGGTATGCTGTTCAGGAAGTTGTTTGGGTTATCACCAATTTGTCCTTGCTGAAGACCCGTCCCTATCACTTTCTGGAGGACACTTACCAGAGAGGGACCCTTCCAGGACGTACGTATGTGTTACAGTTTCACGGTCTTTTCTTTTAAAATTTGGGATTTCCCCCTCCTTGTTTGCCCTCTCGTGCCTGTGCAGCGGGTCCTTGTGCTGGCAGCTGCCTGTAGATGGGGCTGCAATTCCACACCAGCAGCTGTGGTACAGCTGTGTCCAGATGTCCAGATTCCGTGCAGATGCAGCCCGTGCTGAACTGCAATGGCCAGCGAGCAACCATCTCCTTTAGCAACTTGAGTGATGCAAAGTGACCATAGTTTTAAAATATTTTGGTTTATTAAATGTTTAAAATAACATAAACATCATATTAACAATTTTATGGCTGAGGTTCTCATAATTTGTGACTTTACCATTTTATCTGATTTGAGAGCTCAAAAGATTACACCTTAACATTAGAAACTTTGTAATTAAGATTTATAACAGTAAGTTGTCTCATAGCTAACGAGAATAGAAATAGCAGATAGAACTGTATAAACTTTGGACAGTGGGAGAGTACATATTTTACTATAAACTGGGGTCTGCCGAGATTATATAAGGACAAGAAACCTTTCATAAGCATTTTCATGTTAATCTGAACAAACCAACTCAATTCATAGTTGACTTTTAAGCAATAAAGTGGGACAGTATACCTTTATTCCCCAAATACGATTTTTTTTTTTTTTTTGTTAATTCTCTTACGTCTGTACCACCTCCATACCGATATTTAGCACCATGTAGCAGTATATTCACCATTTAACTTCTGGGGAATGTACAGTATATGATTTATTCTGCACTAGAATAAAGGGTCCAATTGTAATAGAAGTTCATCCTTGCTTTCTGCAGTAGAATGTCAGTGCTGGAAGAGCAACAGCATGCTTTTGACCATGAAGCTGTAGCTTATTTACAAACAAAAGAATGCCCCCCTCCCTCTTTTCCCAGTTGCTTATTCATGATGATGATTTGGTTTATGGTACCACAGGTTAGTTTCCTTTACAATGGAAACTAGGGTAGGTTTTAATCACTTTGTCTTAAACTGAATTGGAACGGCGATACCAACCAAGCACAGCCTGGCATTTCAATATGAGCTCCGCTGCCTTCACCATCTCTGTCTGTTGTATGAGAAGACTGGTGCTGAAAAATGTAGCTATACACACAGGCATATATAATAATGTTTTCTTAGAAAATGGAAAATAACAAATTTCTTGAGGAGGTGGGTAATGGGCCAACAGCCTGTAATACACCAGTATATCTGTTACTTGCCACCTTACCAGGAATGAATTGTATTTTCTTAATAAAATTATTGGGATAGAAGGCGAAGAGGGTGAGAAATTTTAGGTTTTTTTGGTAACAGACATGCTGGAGATAAACAGCTTTGGTTGTCAGTCAAAAGGCAGTTTAAACTCTGATTAATTTTAGGAATTTGCGGGGTTTTTTGTTGTTATCACAATTTAATAATAATAAAAAAAAAAAAAGGTACTTAATTGCAAGCTTCTGCCCACTGCTCTTTGACAGTGAAATGATATTTGGTGTTTCACGGCTTTTGCACAGCAGGTCATAGCGATAGCCTACAGACTAGTGTATATGCATGGTATTAACAAAACATTAGTAGTTTGGGTTCAGCAGTGGTCCATGTTATTTCTTTAGCAGCACTGCAGGCTTCTGACACTCTGAGGGGGGCAGATACGCTGCAGGTTCACAGCGCACAAACAAATCATCCCATTACACTGTCTTGTGGCAGGTAGTTTCGCTTGTGGCTGTGAAGAACGACTGCCAAAATTGTTCTCTATGCTGCCTGATGGTAGCTGGGGGGAGGATGGAGGAGCCTTTCAGTTCATATGTTTTACTACAAGAAACCAAACTGATAACAAAATGCTGATGGCGCTCTTCCCCCACTCCTTGGGAGGCAGAGTCCTCTGAGTTTGGCAGCTCCTATTTCTCTCATCCCTCCGGCCTCCCTTGCCTGGTGGAGCTGGATGCTCTCTGCCTAGTAAAGCTTCTGCTGTCTATGGGCAGAGGCTGCAGGAATGCTCCTCCTACTCCTCTCCTCCCCGTAGCACTGACCATGCTACCTTTGTAGGGGAAAAAAAAAAAAAAAAGCTTGAGTCCTGCTTCAACCTTACAGGTATGAAAAGCTACAGCCTTTAGCCATGAGTAATATCCACTCCTGAGTTGATCATGTTAATTTGTGCATGGTCAGCACAGGCCCTGCAATTTAACTTGGTAAAAACTGTATTTAGCTTTTCATGTGCGAATACATAAAAGCTTGTGAGTATGCATGAAAGAGCAAGAGAGAGAACAGGGAAGAAAATAAGTGGCTGTCACTCCATGTTTTCTTTTAGCTATTTTTCCTAAGGCTTGGGTTTCTTCAGAGAACATACAAATACACTGGGGACCACACAGTAAAACATCAACGATAAATCACTGCTTGAGGTGAGAACAAGTTCTTACGCGAGGTCAGCTCTCCATGATGACAGCCACAACTGGCACTCAAAGACCATCGCCACACGTCAGTCTCTGCAGTAAGGTTTTTCTGAAATGTTTTTGTGGTTCAGACAATCAGCTGAAAACATCTCAAGCCACAAGATTCAAGCTCCACTGCATGTTATGTCTGTGTTAAGAAAAGCTAACAGCTTGGTCCCCCCCCGGCCCCGGCAAGGCCAGAGCTCTGGAGCCAGCTGCCGGCAGCGCTGCGCGGGCTATGAAGGGTCTCCAGAAGAGCCTGCACCATCTGCCACAGCTATGTTTCTGCAACATCCCAAGCGGCTCCTGCTGTTTTTTTTTCAAGACTGAGTAGCAGCTTTGCTGTGGCTGTTGCCTTCAGCAAAATGCTGAAGAGCTTTAAAACATGATTCCCCCATTGTTCTGAGTGAAATCTGAAGCATCTTTCTGCAGTGCAGAAAACAGGTCCGGAAAGGCTCAGGTGAGCAAGGATACATCTCAGACTTGCTGGGACAATACAGCCTGTGGAAATAACTGTGAGTGCCTACAGGCATATGTGAGGAATGCATGGCATGACTGGCAGTGGGGAAGGGGAGGCAGGACACTTTACTCATGGTAGAGCTGACTGATGTAGACCAGACACTGTAGGTGTAGCAGGTCTGCAGTATTTGACTTTTCTGTGAGACTCAAGTTTTTGTCTGTCACGCGTGCTGCATGAGACACATGATCCCCTTAGCTGTTGCTTTTCTTTGTACATAAGGCAGGCACTTAAAAAGGCTTTTAGGATACGAGTTAAAATTCTTTCCTACTTTTTAAATGGAAGTTTGTTTCAAAATAATCTGCAGTTTTGTTTTGTTTTTTAGCCTTTCGTATCAGAAGACTGGAATCTGATCGACGACCTGATTATGTACTTGGGGGAATGCAGTCTTTCTAGAGGAGTCCCTACAGCAACCTGCCTCACCCCGCCAAGGTAGCCAGTCTCTGCACAGCCATGCTAGCAAAGCCTAATGCAGCTAACCTTCACCATATAGCCTGCTACAAAAGCACTGTACGTGAAATGTCTGGTCCCCAGTGCTCAAACCCACAGCTCCTAGCTCCCCAGGCAGTGACACCTTCCTCATGTGCCATGCACAGCATGCACTGCCAGCTTTCTGAAGTTGGCAAACACATAGCTAACAACCGGCATGGTTTCATTTTGAAAGGACGTTTTCAAGGAAAGAGTTTAAAAAATTTGAATCTTTGTAAACCGGGTGCTTGACCTAGTTAAGATATAGAACAGAAGTGCTGTGTAACAAACACAGGGGCCTTTCCTAGGGAATGCCAGAGCCCTGCCATTCTGGACACCACGCTTCTGGTCGGGTTCTGCTGCAGGCATCCTTTGGCAATTGATTGAAACTAGACCTCTAGGTCACACGGGGGAAGATTAACTCCTTGCACCTTTAGAAAGACTTTTGAACTAGCTTGGAGGCCTAAGATATAAATATACTGTTGTCATAACTTGCTTTTGCCTTTACTGACAAAAACAAGGATAATTTTTGAAGAATGCCAGCTTTGTAAATACTCCGCTACTCTTTATCTCTCAAAAGAGCAACTGTGTAATTTTCTTATGATGTAGCATTACTTTTTCAGACAGCTAGCATGACACAAGACTAGAGAAATTGGACGCTGCATTGCTTCAAAAACTAGCTGCTTTAAAGCCTGATAATCTTAAAGTGCTTATTCAGTGTTACCTGAATGAAAAATATTCCAGTACTAGATTTGACTTTGAGAATCTGATAGCACGATAAATTTGTTGCTGTTGCACTAAGGCCCTTATATCAGCTACTCTGAAGAAGGCGCTCTCTTTCTCTGTCCCGCCCCCCCCCCCCCCCCCAAGAATTCCTACTTCACTAGGTGAAACAAGTATCTCTAATACACATGAGCATTAGGAAGATCCTTGGGTTCTTTTCTAAACTGCAATGTAGGACAAAATGCATTAGCTTCACAGTGCATGATTGTTTTAACATAGAAGTCAATGCACCTTTTCCTATTCTAAACAAAAACAGGTTTCAGACTTTTTAATTTCTACTGCCAGGAGTAGCAGCAGAACTGGCCTGATTGGATTTCCTCCATACATCTAAGTGATCACCTTCAAAGTGATTTAGCTGTAATGAAAGCGTGAAGGACACTATCAGGCTGGATTTGAGCTACAGGGAGAGAAGTTTTCTGCAGACAAATGGACAGGGGAAAAGATCTATTCCTCAAACATAATACAGAGTTTCTGAAGTCTTCGTCAGTCTTTAAAGTCTTCTCTTCATTCTCACTGTAAATACAGCATTTTTCAAGCCAGAAAAATGTTTCAAGCAAATGTGGTAAGTGCAAGAATAGAGCTTTTTGACAGACTGCAACCTTAACCACAGAGAGAAAAAACACCTTTCCATAAGAAAGCAGCTTGTGAGTGAGTAGAGTTAACACAGGTACATGAATTCTACATGTGTCTTCAGTTATGGCTTGAAAATATCAGTCCTCAGTAGCAATATAAGACAAGATCTGAAAACTGTTCAGTGTGTTCGCTGGCCTAGTGTAACTGATCTTTTTTCCCCCCTCTAAGTTTTGAAAAACTGAAAACGTTAAATCGTGTTTTTCAATAAGGTACCATTTCACTGAATGAGAATGAAGGAATAGCTTCTTTAGGAAGACCCCTTACAGGTTAATTTCCTTGGCTGGGTCTTCTCTGATGGCATCCTTTTCTTCCAAGGTTGTATGCTTTAAATTTGCCTCTTTTGAGGAAGATGATAGGATTAATATATCCTAGGTAGTACATGGGAAGACGATGACTTTGGTTAATCCTCACTCTTGCACATTAGACTACAGATGAATGGTTCCAGCTTTGACCTGTTCCTAAAGCTTTAGTTATGGCTTTAAAAATTGGCCTGGTCCTATGGAAGAAAGACCACCATGTATTGAAGCATTGGTTAAAATGAAAAAGGCGAACATATAACAGTGCACAGTAAATGCAGGCTGCTGTTGGAGGGTGGGGATTTTTCTGCTACTTTCAGACCCTGATGCCCATAGTTGCTGATTAGAGGAGATGGAGGTCCTTCTGGAAGTGGCTGGTTGCTGATGGACGGCTTCAGTGCCTGAGGGTGCTGGATGCCCTGAAGTAGGAAAGGAACTTGTAGCAGAGGCTCACCACAAAGTACCAGATGTTTCGAGCCATCTGCGACCTTGCAATGAAAATGCGCCAGATGATCACAAGGAGAGTGGTGTTGAATGCATATCGAATGTTCCTCAGCCTGAGAAAGAGAAAGCAGCATTTTATGGAGGAAGACAAAAATGATGGAAAGCTTACCAGCCTGCTTCGTTTACTACAGGTAATCTTGTGAGAAAACCTGTTTACAAGTGGCCTTTCGGCTTTTTGCCATTCCTATTCTAGTGAAGACACTGTGCCTAAGATGTCCCTACCACCTTGTCAAGGACTATGTTGAAGTTAGGGTACAGTAAACAGTTAATGGGATAGGTGGAATATTTGTATTGCAAGTCTCTTGTTTTGTGTAGTCTCATTTTGAACCAGAACAGAAGTCATACTGAGAATTTCTTCTTTATAATAGTCTCGGTCCAATACTTTCTGCTTCGATTTGGTATATGGGCTATTTTTTACTCTGCAGGATTGGTGGCAGACTAGAGGACCTTTCCAGGAGCTGATAAATAAGGTTCTCCTATTTAGGTGAGAGCTCGCCTTTAATGTTGGGAAATTACTCAATCCTAAATGGTCTTCACATTTGCAGTACTGCAGCACTGGGGTTTGGGGGTGGGTGGGTGGTATACACCATATATTTAAATGGTATTATTGAGTCTTTAAGATGCTAATCATCTTGTCCTCTTCGTGTCAAGCAAAAGTTTCTGCAGTTCTCCAATTCTCAATTTCCCAGTGTCTGACCAAGGGAAGAGGACTTTGTACCTAATGTCCCCAAGACTGGTTTAATTTTTGTAAGCGTCCATTTTTTTTCATAAACTTTATTACTGCACTATACCACACTGCCTGTTTGGACTATGAGGCAGGAACTGGCCTGTTACAGAGGTTCTCATAAATCATTTAAAAATGACCCATGAATGAAGTGTTTGCTTAGGATTGCTTGCTGTGGCAACAGACTGTTTTGTACTTCTAGCATTACAGTGCACAAGAATGATTTTCTTAAAAGAAACAACCAGGCTGTTATTCCGAGAGAGCTGCCCCTTCTCCTTTTGCCTGCACTTCTCAGTAAAAGGTCTGGATAAGACAGGAAGAGCACAATCTTTAACCAAATAGGACAACCTCAAATTGCTCATTCAGACTCTCTTAAACTGTCCCCAGGGACTGAATGCATAAGCTCTCCGCTGAATTTGCAGAATTTTTGCCCGTTCCCGCCAAGGAATTAGAAACTTTAACTTTAAAATGAAATTTAAAATCATACAAATGCTTGAAGTATTTACACAATGTCTTTGAATTGCTAAAAACTTCTAGGAGCTTCACAATCTAAATGTGACCCTTATTTTTCTACTGTAATTCTCAATGACCAAGATCATCTGCATTCATGTATTCCTCTTACGCATTTTAACTTTGTTATTTGGTCATCTGCTGGGAAGGCATAATATCTAGCCCCTGGTCATTAGTGTAATCTAAAGTCCTCTTTTCCTTACAGGGTGGAAAAATGAAATACTGACAACCCTCTGCCATAAGAAATAAGCTACGAAATGTTTATCTCCGTATTATCCAACAATAATTATTGCAATGTAACTAGAATAATTTTCTTCAAAAGCCATTCAAGGTAGCCAGGAGCTCTTGCCCTGGTCACTGGGTATGACTTACTTTCGTAAGTGCTGCTTTGCTGCTGGAATGCCAGCCATGTCCTCGTTTAGCAAGTACTTCTTAGCACCGAGGCAGTAGCTTTCAATGTATTCTGACCAGTGCAGCTGACGAACATCAAAGTTGTATAACTAGGATTTAAAGACAAAGAGCAGAAGTTAAACACCAGAGTTCAAAACAAGTTCACTTTAAGCATCAGTTCTTCAATGGCCTCCATTCCTGACAGGGCCCTCTCTCTGAAGTTCTTAAAGCCACCGAGTTTCCAAGAAGACATGGGTACTAACAGAATATACTTCACAGCTGCCAATTAATTTCTTACCCAGCTGGGAGTCTGGGCAAAGCAAGCAGCTGGCAGAAACTAAAGTTTGTCCTTCAGCTGGCAATTTTTGCATAAATACATGTATTTATTTGTACACACACATACAAAATTGTGGAAGAAAAATGTCATTCCACTCAGGTACATGGATTCGTATGAAAACCTCGATGCAGTTTTTAATGTGTCACTAGAATCATGTGTAAATAAATGAATTGGCTGTTGAGTCCTCAGGTGCCTCTGCACCAGTGTTACTCTCTGCTGTGCTGCATTCTCTCTCAGCAGCTAGATCAACGTAAGTCCAAGAAACCGGTTACTCTGGTGTTTAACATCAAAAAATCTCATTGCAGAGCTAACTACCCCAGTTAATTTCAGATGCTTATACTGGAAAAATTGTAAACAAGCTCTCAGGTGGTTGTCTGTCTATTAGAGCAAAGAAAAGATTTGTAAAGAGGAAGAGGTTTTGTTGTAAAGTGTTTTTTTTTTTGTTTTGTTTTGTTTTTTTTTTTTTTTTCCTTTAACGAATGACTGAAGTGAATGGCATTTCTTATTTACAGGTCTTAAAAGGGAATACACTCAGAAGAATACCTTCCTTTCATCCCCATGCTAATCCAAGCCATTTGCTTTGGTATCAGACCAGCAATAACTAAAGCAGAGAGGCGTTAGCTAACTCTGTCACAGACAGGGAGTTCGCTACGGTGTAGATCCCGGCGTGGCTGTTAGGTGTGTATAGAGACGTGTGCTGCCCATAAACTAGCTAGCGTGAATACTGCTCACAATGAAGCAGTGGCAACACTGGATGTGGTGCCTCTCACAAAGCTCTCATAAGCAGCTTGGTAATCCTGAAACTGTTGAGTTTGCACTAAGTTCTTAGTGCTGTAATTTCTTGTTTATCTGCCTCAGATTTAGCTCCTATCATACCATTTAGGTTCCCTCTACATCTGCTGTAGTCACAGCAGTGCCACTGCCTTCAGAAGTTAGAATTTGCTGCATGCACTCTCTCTGCAGACTAGGGATGAAAACTCTTGATTCTACTACTGGGCATCTATGCAAAAATTTCATTATGTGAGACCAGTTTGATGTGAATGCCAAAGGATCTCTTTGCAAGGAGATACTGACCAAAGGTGCATTTGAGCTTATCACAGATCTACTCTTTGTATTCCTTCAGTCTTTCAGTTACAATCCTATTCTTAAGGAGTAGTATTTCAAACCTATAAAGACTACAACAGAGCTTGACGTCCTGCAAATTAATTGCTCTTTGGGGATGTGAATAAAACAGGAACTTTTTTCATATGGTTCAGGGTAAGACATTATGTGTTAACTAAATTTCCCCATGCAGCACCTGTTAAAACCAACGTGGATGAAAACGTTAAAAGCTTTCAAGTTATTTCCATCTAGACCATCCACCACAGCTGCCATGTTAACTGGAAAGACTTCAGTGATTGGTCTGTCTCAGAAGAAAGAATAACACACCTCAGGAGAAAACATTCTCCTGCAATAAATGAAAGGTTCCTGATAATTTATTTAATAAAAATGGATGAAATAAATTATTTCAGGTTAAAGTCAATTCCAGTCATCTGGGTGTCATTTGAAAGCTCAACAATACACCAAAACTAATTGCTGCAGTTTGAAGATTAGCAATCCATATTCAGGACACACTTACCTTTTTGTCCTCTGTGTTAAGGTGACTCATTAACATATTCATATTATCTGAAGACCAAGCCCAGGACTGAGTGGAGAAATACTGCATGAGCATCATAGACTTGTGCAGTCGATTGACAATCTTCATCATTCTGAAACAGAGGAGCAGCGTCAAAGGTGGATAGGAAGTTTGACCTTGTGCAAAAACTGTTGGTTTGCTCTGTAGGTGTTTTCACCGATCCAGACGAATAGACGTTGCAGTTCAGGATGAGCACCGCAGTGGTGCTCGTCAGGCTGAGCACCTGCTCAGCAGGTCTAACTGCTCCAGCTGAGGTCTTGAGCCTACAGCTACCCAGCTTCTACTGTTGGCTGGAACATGGGTGCAAACATACATTTCTCAGGGCAGGACTGATGCCTAATTTGCTGGCCTGAACTAAACAAGGGTTGAAGGCCATTGCGACATCACGTACCACGTGTGAGGTGAAGAGGCCATCTTAACAAGTATGAAGTCTGCACAGCGGATTGCAGAATCACACAGGTATAGTGTTTGCCTCCTGAGGTGGATACCTCTCTTTCAACCACACAAACGCTCTTCTGTTCTCATGCCTGAATTGGCTTCTGAAGCAAGGCTCTGATTTTTGGAATTAGCTCCAGTACTGAGGTGACTGCATCTGCAGCATGAACAAGCTCTGAAATCAATTGCTTAGCTTCAGTTTTCAGATTGAATCATAGAATCACAGAATGGATTGAGTTAGAAGGGACCTTTAAGATCATCTAGTTCCAACCGCCCCTGCCATGGGCAGGGACACCTTCCACTAGATCAGGTTGCTCAAATCCCCATCCAACCTGGCCTTGAACACTTCTAGGGAGGGGAGGTTGTGCAACTTCTCTGGGCAACATCTTCCAGTGTCTCACCACCCTCACAGGAAAGAATTCCTTCCTTATATCTAATCTAAATCTACCGTCTTTCAGTTTTAAACTGTTACCCCTCATCCTATCACTATATTCCCCAATAAGGAGACTCTCCTTATCTTTCCTGTAGCCCCCATTTAAGTACTGGAAGGCCACTACAAGGTTTCCCTGGAGCCTTCTCCAGGCTGAACAACCCCAACTCTCTCAGCTCGTCCTTACAGAATAAGTTCTCCAGCCCCCTGATCGTCTTCGTGGCCTCCTCTGGACCTGCTTGAGCACGTCCATGTCCTTCTTATGTTGGGGTCCCCAGAGCTGGACACAGCACTGCAGGAGGGGTCTCACCAGGGTGGAGTACAGGGGGAGAATCCCCTCCCTCAACCTGCTGGCCACACTTCTCTTGATGAAGCCCAGGATACAGTTGGCTTTCTGGGCTGCGAGCGCATATTGCCAGCTCACATTCAGACTTTCGGCCACCAGTACCCCCAAGTCCTTCTCCTCAGGGCTGCTCTCAATCCACTCACTGCCCACCCTGTATCCACATTCGGGATTGCCCTGACCCATGTGCAGGACTTTACTTGGCCTTGATGAATTTCATGAGGTTTGCATGGGCCCACCTCCCTAGTCTGTCAAGGCCCCTGCCTCTGGGCGGCATTCCTTTCCTCTAGAGTATCAACCACACCACTCAGCTATGTCTTTGGCCTTCTTCGATCTCTCTCTCTCAAAAAAACATTTGTTTTTCTTAAAGGCTATTCCTCTCCCTATCTAATATAGTGGCAGTTTGGAGTGCTTTTTGTCCTTCCTTATGCAGGAAGGGTCTGATAGCATGCACTCCTGGTGGATGACCTTGAAGACCATCCAAGTCCATAGGCATTTTTTTGGTGGGGGGTGGGGAACTGTTTCAATGTCATTCTGGAGCGGAAACGTCCTGGTAAAGATAAAAGCTGCTTCGGGGGCACGGCCGCTTAACAGGGACTTTGGAAATGTAGGTCCAAGTCTGTCATGTGTCTTGGCGTTTTTTTATTATTAATTTTTTATATAAAAGGGGATGATAGTAATGCTGCCATACCTTGCAGGATTATTTTACAGTTGTCCCAGTGGTCATGAGTACAAAAGGCAGTTGTTTTAAACTGTGAGGTACAGTTCTCGGTCAATTTTGAGAGAACACCATGTTCTCTCAGACTGGATAAGGGCAAGAGAAAGCATTAAAAGGCTGATTTCTGTCGAAAACAGAGCTGTTTTCATGAGAAATTTTGAGCTGCCCAGAGAGTAACACAGTTGCTGTGACAAATAAAAGGCAGCAGTTTGAGGAAGAATGGTGCCAGGCTGGCCTCTCCCAGTGCAGATGTGACTGCCAGGATGATAAGCACTAAGCACAGCAGAAAAAGACACAATGAGTACATCAATTCAGAGGAGAACTGCGCAGCTTACCCAAAGCAAAATCAAAGAGTACTAAAACCTTACATAGGCATTCCTACTCAGAATTAACATGGATTTATTTTTAGAAGCAAAGCACACCATCAGATTAAGGGGAACTTCATTCTGAATAATCATGTGCACATTGATTGAATGTAGTTTATCTGAACTACTTCAAAATTACTTCAGATTAAAATTCTTGATTGCACCTGTGTAGGCAAGTACTATAGGGCAAAGATTTGCAAATATTTTAATACCTTTTAGGAACTTGGAAAACAAAGTATATAGCTAGATTGCAAAGATCTGAAATTGCCCCTCAAACTTGCTCCCCAAAAGCCATCAATATCTTTAAAGATATTTGCTATGATTTGATTAGGGAAAATAGAACCTGTCAGAAAAAAAATGGTAAGAGAATCAGCTGTGTGTCCCTACTTATGTTTTGACAATAGGCTATCTACATGGCCTCAAGTCAGTGTGGGCAGAATAAACTCTGACTGTAGATCTACCCAAAGCAACATATTTTAGTGGCTAAAAGTAAGGGTCAAAAAGAGAAATGAATCATTTGAAGAGGTACGTATGAAAACTGTGTTTCATATTAACTGACTAATCTTAAATGTTGTGACCACATTCAAAATACTAATTTGGATAAAGGAATGGTCTACTAAAGAACATCAGCTGCATAGAAACATGCTTTTCTGCAGCCTCTGACAGACTATGGCAAAGATTTCTTATAAAAAATCTCATTCTCCACTGTGGAGGAACTGAGAAGAATAAAGGAAGTATCAGCTGTCACTGATAGCCTTATTAGTGACAATTCAGAAATGCATCTTGTCTTCTAGAAGACTGTTTACAGCGATGATTCCTTTATTTGCTCTCATACTGAGCCTTGCATGAGCAGATTCTCAGGTGCAACAGATTGCCCCAGGAGACTACTCATGATATAAACCACATTATTTCCTAAGTCACGGATGGATGTGCAGCAATAACAGTAAGCCATTTAGGGCAGTTTTGCTAGACATCTGGCAATTTATGTGAAATGAGCTAACACTTAAAGAAAGCTTCTCAGGAGAGGCAGTATATAAAAGTCTAAAGCTGAAGGAGATGACTCTTGTACTTACCCTTTGGTAGATGGGGTACTAGAGGTGATAACTACAGGAGAAACTACAGCTGAGTTTTTCTGAACTACCCTGCAGTTCAAATTAGCGAAGGTCACAGGCTGGTCCAGGATAAACAGTAGACTCTCAAAACCATAACCAGCTCCCAGATAAACTATTCCACATGATAACTCATCACCTTATGATGAGTTGAGTATGGATACAGTAGAGAACTGAAGCCTGAGTCCTCGTCCTGGCAAAGAACTTTCTCCTTTCTGCTTGCAAATCTGACACACGGTCATAGACAGAATTCAAGAAACTGCCACGAAGATGGCTTGTACTTCAATAGATGGGAGTGACAATGGGAAGACAGTTAAGCCTAGGTGCTCTGTTTGAAGCAGAGGGAAAAATTAAAGGGAAACATTGAAGCAGGTTCAGTGACACATTCAACTTTTTTTTTTTTATTTCATGTGGTTTATTGCCCTTAGATCATAAAGATCTGATATTCATGTAGCTGTGAAAAAAAAAGAAAGAATTAACTGCTACTATGCTTTCTAAGTAGTGTGAAAAAGGAAAACAGGAATTATATTTAAAAAGAAAAAAAAAGACTTTGTGAATTCACAAGTTCATTGCTGAGCTGTGTTTGCTCAGGCTGCAAATCTTAAAGTTCAGAAGAAGATACATTTCTCAGCATGAGTTCATGCTGAGCTCTATTTGAAATTTAAATGCCATATTGCAGCCAATGTCCACTGGCTTCTTATGCCAATCAACTTTATGAAAAAAGAATGTCACCTGGAATAGCAACGCCAATGTCTTACTGCTGCCTCTTTCAACAGTTTGGAGATTCCAGCCTATTCTTGCTCATATTCAGTTCACCTCTATTTCTAGGGTAATTCTTGCCTCCTGGATAACTGGAAGTCTTTTTATGGACCAATTTCCCTCTGTAGCAGAATGTCAGAGAAAAATCAGAGCAATACATCAGTCAGGGATTTCCCTGCAAACAGCTGAAGCCAGCTTTCTAACTAGCAGAGAAACACAGAGCAGCTGACATCAACACAGTGCTGGCATACCATTCTCGTGTAGCACCATAAATTCTCCTCTGTGGTGGCAGGGAGTAAAGGAGGGCATTGGCTGAGTTATGTTACTTATACCAGGATTCCTTCCACATGCATGTCATGAGTTTCTCCTAGCCACGCCACTTCCAAGGCTCAAATACCAGTTGTAATGGTAAACTGTCCTCGCAAATACAATTCAGAATTTATTAATACTCAGAAACAACCCCTTCCTAGATTTCAGAGTGCTGGGCCACTGCAACTGCTAATTATTCATCTGATTTATGGGAAAAAAAATGGTCTGGAATGTTCTAAACCTTGCTGGTTTCAAGTCCTTGTGGAAGCTCATGACAGAGGCAATCTCATCAGGAAGTTGCAATGGTGGAAATCTTGCTATACAGAGGACTGTAACTACAGGCCCTCCTCTTCTGTCCTGGGAACTTCTGAAATGTATAAAGCTAAGCTGGAAAGATCTGGTGTCCCCCAGGTACTGGAAAAGGTGGGAACTCTAGGCTACACTTAGCTATGGCCATGCAGTTCCTTTTCTTTTTGAGCAATCTCCTCAAGACAAGGAGATGGGAAGACCAGGGACTCCAGGCTCAGGCAGTGAGTTCTCAGAACTTAGACATCAGCTCTCCGTAACAGCGCGGGCATGCAGGGAGCTGAAGTCCTGCAGTTTCTTACCTAGGCTTTCTCCCTGTGAGCCTCATGTACAGGTCGTAGAGTATGGCCGGTGCCTTGTCATTGACATTTACCCAGTACTGATTTATCAAGCAGCTGGACGTCAAGTGAGCGTTGGGTGTTCGGAAGGCCTGCTCCAGTGGGTTCCTTTTGAATGTGGACATGGCATACTGCCCTGTAAGGGAACAGGCATTTCACTTAAAACCAAGCACTTAATTGCAGTTGAGTGGGGCACAACCACACCAATATGCTACAGTAAAGCCCAAGTTACTGTGCTTAACATGCTTAACCTACAGTTCTGCGAACTATGTAACCAGATGTTGGACAAGATCATCTCATGGTCCCTTCTGGCATTAAAACTGATGATTCCATCTATTTGCTATCTGAAACACAATCTGACGGTAGACTTAATAGTGGCAGACAAAAACTTCCTTATAAAAATACCAAAAAGTAATGGAGGAAAAGCAGGCAGTTGCAGCCAGAAATGCGTCAAAGGTGTAAGAGAAATTGCAAAGCGTTAACATATCTTCAGATCACTGAAAACAAACTTTGATCTGCTAGCATAAAACAAAAATGACATTTCTGATTTCAAATTTTCAGAAGGGCTGATGTCAATATCACTCTGAGTCAGAGACAGGTTGCTTACTCACATAGAGTGCTGCTTCTAGAAAGACTTCATTATATCCTTTCAAACCACACATGGCCCACAACACTAAATACTTCAGGCTGTTTCCAGAGGATGCATTAAAGCAGCAAATTGCCTTGCATTCTTAACTTGAAAACTAACCAGAGGGTGGTAAAATTTCATTCCTTTTGCATGTTAAGGCACAAAATATGTTGGGTCTGATTCGGAGCTTTTGCAGTGGCACAGTGCCACAGAAGTGGCATCTAGATGTGCTGATCTGGGGAATTTGCATATTGCAGAGGCTTAATAGAACTGCAGTAGTTCAATATAAGACTATCATCCGAGGGACTGATAAACAGATGGTACTCCTATTCCTGAGTACCAGTGAGCTCAACAAAGAAGAATATGTGGGCTTTTTTTTTACTTTTTTAAAAATTAATTTCAGAGTTACAACAACAATCTGTTCTCATAATATAGTTTACTCTCTAAGCTTATGTTACAAATAGAAAATCAGATGAGAATTTGCAAGTCACAAGAAACAGCCAGATCATCCTCAGATAAGCAGATTCCAATCATAATATTCAAACAGCACTCTTCTGTATCTGTGGTTGGGTCATTATAGCACTTCAGGTAGTGACTTTTGCTGTACTTGTTCTAAGTAAAAGCAACTAGAGAAGTCTTGTTAGCCCCTTAGCTGCTACATTTAGACAACAGACTTTTAAAATAGTACCATTTAGTTTTGGTGCAAGTTCATTGTTAATTCTTGTGTCCCATATGTTGCAAGTTTAATGGCTGAAGACCAGTTCTCCTGAAACTTGTGTCTGAACAGCTAGAACTGACTGCCATCCCTTCTGTTTCATGTAGCCACACTGCCATGGTGTGTTTATCTTGTGGTCATCCTGCAGGCTGTGGTGTGGAGATCTTATCCTTTGTAATATATTCTCTCAAAATTGCAAGGATTAGCAAAAACCTCCTATTTAAACTTTCCCGTGTAGTCGTGCCTGGCAGGGAGGGCTTGCTGGAGTGGTTTTACTGAAGATTTGGAAAGGTGTTTTCTCCTGGCGGGGGAACGGCGATAAGCAGTTTGGGAAGGAAGCTGCTGTCCTGGCCCAGCTCTCGGCAGAGTTTGCGTCAGTCTAAGCAGCGTGTGAGGAGTTTCTTTCCTCTGTGTTAGTAGCACGGCCATTTACTACAATTATACTTCAACGAAGTTATATTATTTTAACCATAAAGAGATCTGCTCTCAGTTTGGAAAGGACTGTGTATTTGTGCTCATTCAAGTAGCTCATGGTTCTCTCAGCTGCTGCTCTACTTAAGGAAGTTTCTCCGAGAGACACTTTAAATCCCAGCTTATCTACAAACTCTTATCTGCTTATCAATATTTAATCTCATTTAGTTTCATTTGGCCACTTCATTTCCTAATGGAAACCTATCAGTTTAGCTGGGAACCACTGATATTTTAGAATTGTGATAGTTTTGATATTGTCTGCAGCATGTATTTATAGGTCTGTTTATTCAAATCCTGATGTTAATATACTGCAGATCTAGTTTTCAGCTGTATGAGAAGGTTTCCCCTTGGAAACATGTTAAAGACTCCACTGCCTTTCTTTTCTCTTTGCATTTTGACATCTTTGGCCAGGGTAGCAAGAACAAACTAATCAGTAAGTGGAAAATGCAGCCCTTGTCATTTGAGATCATCTGACATACAATAAAGTCACACAAATCGGCAACACCCTTATCATCTTGGTTACTTAAGGCTTGTAGGGGAAAATGCAGCTGTAGTAAAGAAGCTACAGTATTAGGCTGTGATATTACTTGGTGCAAGAAGCACATATGTCAAGAGCAGATGAGAGATCTCCTGGAAACTCAAGAAAAATTCTGAAAGTCAGGAATGAAAGTGGTTCTGTTGTAAGATGCAAATAAGAGGGCAGTGAGACCAGCCTGAAAGACTTCCCGGAAAGAAGCTGGGAAAACACCAGTGTTGCATAACTTGGAACTGCTAATGCTACGGGCGTTTTCTTTACCAACCTCCCTTACCCTGGCTTGCACTGACTCGGCACGATCACTCTGCCTCCTAATTTCTGGGAAGTGTTCAACTTTGCAAGTGTAATGAGTCTCTTACGCTCCAAGAGTTTGTTTTGGAGAGAGAGAAAGAAAGAATCAGATAGGCAGATGGGACAGGTGGGCAGAAAACCCTGAACCAGAAACATATCACTTCTGGGAGCTACTCAGATGTCTTAGTGGGTGAGTGGCCTTTCCCCTCTGACCACAGCACAAAAACGCAGCAGCAAATTCTACAACTCAAAGGCAGATTTAGTAGGGGGAGAATCAGACACCAGTCTTGCCTAGGTAGACTCTCAAGGGTAAACTGAAATGAAGTTTTCCACACTAAACACCACTTTAAAGCCTGCTTTAGGATTTAGTTTTGAGAAGAAATTGCAAAACACACTTCACAAAGCCAGACTAGCAAGACTTAGATTGCAGCAAAGCAAAATACGCTTCTTCAGATCAATACTCAGTTTTCTGACCACATTTTTGTAACAGTGGAGAAAGTAACAGCAGTAATAGAATAAAGTAAGAAAAGGTCCCAAAGCATAGCCTTATTTGGAAAAGAAGTAAATTCATTAAAGTTCCTTTTAACACTAGAGGTTTGTCTGTATCTGGAGATCTATAGAATAAACTGGTTTGCAATGGATGTTTACACATAAACTGCTTAAGTAGACATATATTTTTCAAATAATTCTCCTCTGTATCTCTTTCTCCTCCCTCCCTCCAAGCTCATCATCTTTGTACTCAAAATGTCTCCATCTCAGACACTTCTGTTCCATACCCAGGGTATCCTCAGCCCATTCCAGTCTCAATTTCTCTATTTGATCTTTCTCTCCTTCCTTCCTTCCTCTCCCCCTGAAAAATCCCTAATCTGTTGTGTTCACCTGTCATTTCTATAGCCAGCCCTGGTGTAAGTCTCCCTGACGAGGTAGCCCATGTCCTGCCCTCTGCAAACCCCGTGGTTGATTTGCACTCAATCACTCAGGTCCCATAGCAGATGACTCCCCAGTGATTTCCCCACTCTTGTTTCTCAGCAGCTTCCAGTCTCGCTTTCACAACCCTCCACCATGCCAACTGGTTACAGACCCTGTGCCGGTCTGGCCTCCCCACACTCCTTGAACAGACTCTTTCCCTCTGCTGATCCTGTGTCTCCTGTATGTTTGCATCAAACAGCTTCTTTTATGCTGGGGATAAAGGAAAATTCTGATAAAGCTGAAAAACCACTGGAGGTAAAGAGCTGGCTTCAACTCCTTCAATCTGAAAGTTTGGCAGAGCTAAACACAGTTGCAAACAGGCTTTTGAAAAGAGAAGGTGACAACTCAGTAGCAGATGCCTCCCCACTGTGAAGGAGGGAATGGACGGCTGCAGTTCAGTCCTTCCGTGCAGGGGCTGGACTACTCAGTGGAAGCTCTTATTTAAAAGAGATCACAGCTCTGAAAGGCCTGCTGGAAGTGCCTGCCATGGGACTGGCTGACTAGAAGCCAAATAATAGTGAATAGACAGAAAAAGCAATGTGAGTGGGGTAAGAAGGTCTGTCATATATAGAAAGAAGATTCTAGAATTGGGTGTATTTACAAAAAAAAAAAAAACCAAAACCAACCTGGTATGGTAGAAGACTGAATTGAGAATTCAAACTGGCTGGTTGCAATCACAACATCCTAATGCAATAAACTTTTCCCAAACTAATGTCTTAAACCATGCAACATCTCTAAGGGCAAAATTTTGCTCTTTGTTACTCCATCCTAATTCCTGTTCATGAATTTATACCTAATACCCCTCTGCAGCCTGCCGATCTCTGGAAAACGTGTAGATCCAACACAGAAAGAGCTCCACAGTGTCTCCCCAGGGAGAAAATTTTGCCTTCAGATCCATCACGCAGCTGAACTGCTTATCCAAGCTTCTGCTGCACTCAGATGATTTCATTACTAAATCCACAGCTATGAGCAAAGTAACAGAGTAAGATAAGTTACAACACATTAATACGCTGCTGTTTTCATCAGTAAAATTACACTGAAAATGGGTTGAGAAAGGCAAATCTCAGGTAGTAGTGCTATGGTGGCTGTTGCCTGAAGTAGTAGCCTGTCAAGAGCTTTTCTTTTACTCCTGTGAAAAAGCCAGAGAAGATCTGACTATACACTATGAAGACTGTCTACGTTTTCCAGCAATCATCTGTGAAGCCTCACCTCTTCTCACGACTGTGACAAACCACAGCGTTGGGCCTCTCGTAAAAAAAATGCCAGGAACTTGGTGTGATGTTCTCACCACTCATCCAATTGCTGAAATCTCTTCCCTGATAGATCACTTGATCAAATCTCAGGGTAGGACATTAGTAGGATTTTCAGACAAGTCTTGTTCTGAAAATGCAATTACGGTCTGATTTTCTGCTGATTTACAGTTTGACAATTAAATAATGCAAAGACAAATGCAAAGCAGAGGCTGAGAGGTGAAACACCACAGTAGTGATTTTCCAGCATCCTGTATTTCAAGCACAAAGATATGAATTAATGTATAACAGAAAGCAAATCAGGCCCCATACATCTGTCCATGAACGTACTGACTGTACGTGTAGTTCTGCTGCTTGACTTCTGCATGAATTTTCCACTGTAAGGGTGTCAGGATTCGTCTTCCTTTTTTTCACCACTGCCTCAAAAGCACATCCACTTGAAGAAAAGTCAGCCATGCAAATAATTTTAATTATTCCACTGACAAAATTCATGATCAAAAGGCAAACTGTTCTTGAAGTACACCTGTCATTTCAAGGTTTGCCTTCTCAAGCCTACACTAATTATTTCTGTTTAGAATTTTTTTCACAGAAAGAGGAAGAAAGTTTTCATTCACTACCCAGGTTCTCCAGGTGATTTCAGAGTACAACCCCCCACACACACCCAGGAAAGGTTCTCAATCAGAAAAGGAAAATGTCCTGTTATGGCTATGCAGAGCATCTTTTCATAGAATTAAGGGGCTGGTTCTCTATTCCTTTTTCCACCACATTAGTACCTCAGTGCAGCAAAACATGTACTTTGCTGGATTGTTAAGTGATTACACCCACAATGAAAACTGAATAGATGCTTTCTTGAGCTGAATGCCCAGCACCAGGAGCTTTTGCTCACAGAACCCTCACTGACTGCAAATGGGTGTCCCACATGCCGTTTGAATGGCAGATGCTGAATGTCACCTAAATACAGGAAACCGACTTTTCAAAGCTTAGCTGAGGAATACTGTTGAAGTTTGACATGTTCTAGGTTTAAATTAGGCCTTACTCATTTCTCCCCAGAAGAAAGGGTTGATTCCACCTGTTGTGCAGTTGTACACCAACATGTTTTTTGGTCTGGAAAAGAGAAAAAAGTATTATTTTAAGGTGTGAAGTAAAGCACCCAAAGCTTTATTAATGGAGCATGAAAGCTAAGAGCCCAAGAAACAATATCAGCTCATAAGAAAAGTGCAGAAGAGGTCATTTTTCACAAATACGAAAATACAGTATAAAACATGAAGTTTTAATAATATTCAGTCAGATTCTGGAGAGCATATGAAGTTAATAGGGTTTAAGAAAAATCATCCATATATCAGTTATCAAAAATTATAAAAACAAGGAAAGCATGCATACTGGCAGGTTTCTGATTATTTTTTTAATAGTTTCTCTTAAGATCCTGCAAATAATTGGCCCAAGCCAACCTCAGGGACACACTGTATTTTAAAATCATTTACTTAATGGATAAGATTTGTGCTACTTTTAAAATCTATTTGTTAGGGTGGTGATTACAAATCAATCAATTTCTACAAAATTCTCATTTGAATGCCAAATAAAGTTTGGTTGTTATTTGGGTGTGGAACTAAACACAAATCATACTGGTTTTATTTCTCCCTTTGATATGAGGCAAAATTAAATCAAACAGCTTTTTTGATCTAAGCCTGCCTTGCCAAGGGTGCAAGTGAGGCTATCAATACAGCATTTTTCTTACTCCGCATTTGCAGCTGGAGCCATTTGCCAAAATGTTAAAAGAGGTGAGATCTGGCCTTGAAGAGGGGGCAGGAGCTTGGCTGGTGGATACAGCATCTCAGTGCTCCTAGGGAGCCTGCGGTGCGCAGAGCCTTTCTCCACTGGAGGAGGCTGCCTATGAGGAACCTTCCTTTTCAAAACTCTTATGCCCAAAGATACCAGGAGACAGAATCCCTAAGCCTGGAATAGGAAACCTTGCACAGTAATACTTGAAAACTGCAGTTGGATAATGCGCTGTTTTAACGGTGCATTTTAAAATAATGCTTTGAAATAATGGCATTTGTATATAATTACTATTCCCTAGCAGACTCCTAGAGTTGGTAGGACTGACAGAAGTGTCGAGCTCTGAATCCATGATCTCCTGTAACTCTGAATTACTAAGAAGTCTGATAGTGTTAAACATAAAATGCTCAGTAGTGCTTAATGTGGGAAACTGCGTTATGGAAATCAGTACGGCAACTCTCTAAGGATGAAATCCATAATACGTGCCCATACAGAAAACGCAGCTAGTGCTCAGCTACACACACAGCCTGATGAAAAATGCAGACTTTCACTTACTCCAGTGGGCCAGGCCCATTAAACACCAATGAAAAGGATTTCTCCGTTTTCCCAGCTTCCAGCAAAGAGTCCCTCCTTGTTGATTTTTTTTATTCCATTCTTCACCTTCCAGCTGAGTCAGTGACATTGGTAGAGTGTAGAGCTTTGTAGAGCTTCTACACTATATAGTGAAGATTGCAATTCCCTGCTAAGTTTTAGAATCTAATTTCCCTTGGTAATGTCACATGCCCTGAAGGATACTGACTCTCTAATTAGATGATTTGAAAAGAAAAAAAAAAAAAACCAAAACAAACAAACCATACATGCTATTCTTCAAGATAGCAACTAAAGCCAAAACTGTCTCAGACAAATCAAACTTAGAAAAGGCTCAGCCTCTTGACTTTTGTATACAGATTGCTAACCTTAGGGTTGTGCCCAGCTAGACAAAGCTTTGCATCAAGTTCCAATATTGCTCTTTTAGCCTAATGATTATTTGTGTGGGAACCAGATTAAAACCATGTATCTTCCGCCAACAAAAAGTTAGAAAAAATGGCACTTCTCCTACCATGGCCAGAGCCAGGGAGTCTACCTGTGTGCTGATACACTGCTCATCAGCATGTGTTCATCTGCTTTTCCAGCTTTAGGGACCGGGTGTGGCCCTGTTCACCTGGAGGCTCTCAGTGTGGGGTGCGTAAGGGGAAGCTGGCTTTATTTTTCCCAGCTCATGTTGCTTTGCCTGTTGCTGGTGGAAAGGGATGAAACTATGAGAAAAATAAATCTGAAAAGCTGGTGAGCTTCCTCTTAAGATCCTTTTAGGACCCCTGTATTCTGGTTACTGTATGCAGCTTTTATCCACCCTCAGCTCAGAGGGCTTACTCTGTCTTTCAAAGTGAAATATTTCTGCCTTTTATTTGCCTGGTATTGATTTCTCAGAGTTGCATAAGCCTTCAGAATAATTAATGTGGTTTATACTCTGTAGCACTTCCCACCTGATGATTAAAGGTCAGAGTCAGAGGTTCACAGGAAAAGATCTTAAATCCTTAACGTCATCTAAACACACCCTTCCCAAAAATGCAAAGAATGGTTTTTTTTTAGATCATCTCCCCTGTCATATAAGCCCATAATATATTTATATTGTGTAGTGTTTTCCAAGGAAAACACACAGAGAATTTTCACCAAGAAAACTCTAGAAACCACTTGAAAAGCGACTTGGTGCAGCTGCCCGAGAAAGGAGTCCCAAAAACCAGCTGCTGTGAAGCTGCAGTAAAGCTCCTGGCCTTCAGAAAAGTGACTTCTGAAAGACAGACTTGTCAGCCGAGTCTGCACTGTACTGAGAAACAGGTATCACCTGCAGCTTTAGAGATTTCCTAACTCTAAATCCTGCCTTTATTACTTCTGCTACACTCTCAGTCCTTGCCAACCCAGGGGAGAAAACGTGAACCAGAAAATGAGTCAACCAGGCTCTTGCACAGGTTTTCAATTCGCTTCTGGTTCCCTTCAAAGGCCCAGGGCAGGCAGTAAGTGCCCAAGCCCGGCAGAAAGAGGAGTGTTGTCCCACCTGTGCACAGCCGTGTACCACCCAGCCGCGAGGGTGAGGTTGATGACAATGTCTACAGGAATCATGTCTGCCACTGCTTCGTTGTTGGCGATGACAGTCTGCAGAATTCCTTTGCCCGCCTGTGGGATAAAGGAAAACAGTCACTGACGTAATGCCGCGGTAAGATTTCATCGGCTTGGATTGAGGACAGACCGTCACGTTAGCACTCTTCAGGCCTGGCACCGGAGTATTTGGTTTCTGTGGAAACAAAGATGGATCTGATGTGGATCCCACTGTTCTGCATTTTCAGAGGAAGTTGAAAACATTACGGCGTCTGTGCTGTGTATAACAAGAAAAAACTGTGACTTTTATTTAACTCAATATGAAAGAAATACCTTAGGAAAGAAATATATTTGAATTTACTGAAGTAAAATTCCCAGTGATACCTGAAGTTACATTTTCTTAAATGACATTGGCAGGCAGAGGTCTGAGTGTCCCTCAAAGACAGCAGTCATTTTAGAAATGACTAAAATAGGCTTTTTGAAAAGTCCCCTCCCTTTCCTTTGGATGCAGTATTCACACCCTCCTCTTTTCCCAAGCTGTGTCTGTTAAACACAAAGATATAGCCAAGACACGGCCCCTACCTTAAAGAGCTCACCACCCGAAGAAAGTCAGGAAATGAGGGAGTGAAAATACGAAGTACTGACAACCAAAGAGAAGAGGTAGGCAAGAAGAGATTTTAATTTTGCTTTGGTTGGAAGTGCATTTGTCAGGGGATCAGGCTCCCCAAAATATATATCTATTTAACCTGAATAACATATATGTATATAATGGGCTTCCCTGATAACCACTTAGTCTTCGGAGGTTCCACAGGAGGAGACATGGCAACAAATAGCAATGACATGGCAGACATAGAAAACAGCACAAGATACTGGGAGTAGAGCAAAGAGGCAGTAGAAGCTTTATGAGCAGTCAGCAACAAGTGAAAGGCAGATAATTATTTGAAAGAAACTGTGACATGAATAGGAGCGAATAACACTTTGTGAGCACAAATGATGCATTTGGGGGCTTTTGAATGTCTCTGAAAAGTGTAGCTGGGGTTTCAGATAAAAGCATTAGCTGGATACACCCACTAATTTCAAAGGTCCTGTGGATTCCAGAAGTAACTGTAACAGTTTCTATTTATGCTCTACTTCAGATATGAATGAGCTTTTTTGACAAGATGATACTTGGATTTTATTCTGCTTTCCTATGATTGTAGACTATTAATCCTATTATACACTGCATCAGGCTGATTACAATATAGTTTTTACAAAGTAATTGACTTGGACAAATCATACGTGAACAAAAATATCTGCCCATAGCTATACAGCATTATGCACTGACAAATAGACCTAAGGTAGTGATTTTAGTTCAGAAAAAAAAAAAAAACCCATAAGCCAGGGTAAAAGGTATGCAACTTTTCTGTTTTCATATGTTAAACTGTAATTATTGTTTTCATATTACAGGGAATATTTTATCAAGTTACTCATTATCTATCTTATGGGCTTGCTCCTTGCCATTTTGCACAATAGTTATTTACAAGAGTGTTAAGCAAGAATATAGAGAATTATCCATGTGACTGACAGAGTCTGAATTGATAGTTATGCACATTATTTTGGCGTACTACGTATATGGAGAAATCCTGTATAAAGCAATGGCAAGTGATACCCAGAGTCTTTGTTATTGTGGAATGGTCACAAACTATTACAGTCCACTTAGAAACAACACATATGAAGATAAACGAAAGAATAAATAATGTTACCTTTTCTTGATGGTACAGTAATCTGGCCTGGAAAATTAAGTTCTGTTATAAGATTCAGACTTGACATCTGTGATTTACCCTAGTTTCAAGGATGCATCTTTTGCTCTTTGAAAATTTGTCCAAAACTTTTTTTTTTTTTTTTTTAAGTTTTTAGAAACTGCAATTCACATTTAGTGAACCAGCAACATGAATCCTCTTTCAATCTAATTTTTTGAGCGCAGCATAAATAGACAGTCTCTGGGTCCTACAGGCATACAGATGCATGACAAATGTGTGACATCTTTCTACCAGATTCAGAAAATTGCTATGATCCTTTTTTGCATATAATTTCTAAGTGGGGCTGTAGAGTAACTTTAGAATTGCTATTTTAGTAACTCAAACTCCACTTTAGGGGGAGCTTAAATAGTAACTAGACATACCGCAATCAATATCCCACTTGTCCCGTTGAAGCTGTCAATCCAACCCTGCAAAAAAGAAGAATGATTACTATTTCTTTCAATGACATGTTGCTTACACAGGCTTTGAAATAATGAAAAGGCTATAATGCTGTGGTGTAGGCAAAGAAGCAATGAGACACCAGGTAAGATGGATGCCAGCCTACTGGAGACAGCTGCCAGGAAGCTAACCAATATGAAGTACTTAATTGATTTTAAACAGGGGATGCATTGTATGATACCTCATTCTGTCTGCAATTTACCCATCAACAACAGAATCTAATTTTGTCTTTAGAAACCACTTCTTCCATGTACTAGCTTGGCTACAGGAATAAACTCTGGCTTTGAACATTACAGTGTCTTGGTGCTGTCACAATTGCTGAAAACAGTCAGCATGTTATATACCCTCCGACATACAACATGCAGATGTCACTGACAATGATTTGGTTACTCCAGATAATTTATAAGGCAAGAAATTAAAAAAAAAAAATACCACTCCACTTTTGAATCCTACTCTAGGATTTTCAGGTCAGGGAAACTGCCGCTTGTGGAAGCTGGAGTTAAGAGCAGTGATGAGCTGTCTCACCCAAAACAGGTTAGGACACCTAACAGAGTTCACTCTGTCTTTCCAAGATGAGGAGCTTGGCCTAGAGCCTTGCCTATATCTCAGCAATCTTTGGCACACTTCAAGCTGCATGAAAGCCAAAGTTGACCTTATGTCGCCTTTCCAATTTGGCTGCAGTGTTAGGGCACGTTATTCTTACCAGTATATTTAGCTTAGTGAATTATTTCAGTCCAGAAGTACAGCAGCATTTAATTGTTGTGTGGCTGACATTTGTATCTGCAACAGGCTCATACAAGTGTGAATCTAGTGAACTCAATGATTGCCAACATAAGACAGAGATACTAGGTAACTGCATATGACTTCATTAAACGCTTTCAAGGACCATGTGCGGCCTAGGGTGCTCATCAGAACCTCTGTAATAGGCTGACTAGACCATGGCAAGACTTGAACCAGAACGCATCAGGACTGTGACTGACCCTCAGATCTCACGTTTGCCCAGCTAGTACAGAAACTCCCCTGTTTATCTCTCTGGGCACGATCCTCTGCATGTAGGACTGCCAGTTGCAAGTCCAGCATTCTGCACCATTATTATCCCAGCAATTGTTATTATTGTTTAAATATGTTCTTTTCAGATGGAGACAAAAATCTTTCCTGAGATGCTGAAGAAGGCTTGCTGGATAAGGTCCTCCAGCACAGGTCCTCCACTTCTTCCACATGCTTTCCTACGAACTGGAGCACATGTTTCTCAAGTGGACACCGCTACAAGCAGGGAATGATTCCTGACAGTACTGCAGTTACAGCTGCATCAAAGGGCTCTCGGTAGGGAATTGCTATGTATTCATGCTTACTGGGAAAGGTTCATGCCAGCTAGCTCCCACGATGGATGGCCTGATGATAGCAGTGTTCAAGTTTCCTTTCTCTTGATGAACCAGGTATTCTGACAGGGCTTTGGTGTAGGTGTAAGTGTTGGGCCATTCCCCAAGTAGCTTGGGTGTGATGTCTTGAATGATAGATTCATCCAACCACCTACAGGAAACAAGGAGAATGTCATTATCCGCTGTGCAGAGAGAGATGAAGTTGAGGCAAAAAAGACCAGTGAGACAGGAATCCTCACCTGAAACAAAGGATAAGGAAGTCAAAGCCATTTAAGACAAAGCAGTGAGCAACTGGTTTGGATTTAGAACAGCTTTGGGGGAAAAAGGTTACTTTTAACTTCAAGGTGCAAAATAACGCTGGTGAGCTTCATGCTGTGATGTCCAACTCAGCTTCAGGTATCTACACAATCTCATTCTAAAGCAATCTCATGTGCTTTATGATTTACTGCAATCTGTAACGTAGATATAGCCATGGTCTACTGATTGATGGAGCCTTCCAAAGTAGTACTCTCACTAGGTAGCACTCATCCTTAGCCAAAACAGTCCTTATATACTCCCAAATATGCTTCAGGAGATTCTTGGTAACCTTGAGTTAAGTTGAGCATTACAAAGGTCTCAAAAGCTAGAACAATATACTACAGGGATATTATTCCATTAGCACTATTTACAATGTCACATGCTGCTTCCTACTGGTTTTCCACTGGCTTGCTCACACAGAAAATTAAGAAAAAGCTACTGCTAGCTGATTAAAAATTAAAAAGAAAAAAAAAAAGTCTCAAAAAACCACCAAGGTTTCATTTTGTTTTTAATTTGGTTTTGTTTTTAAGATATTTAAATATCTAATCCATCACAAGTAGTTACAACCCTTAAAAGAGTGGCCCTTACCACTGTGGTGCTGCAGAGAGGGCTTAAGGCTCAAAGGCTTTTCCCTGGCACACCATCAAGGCTTTCCTGGTCCTGCTAGCATCGGGGTCTAAAGGACAGGAACTAGCTGTACTTCCAGTGCCCTTGGACACCACTCCTAATCCCCAACAGGCTTTCAGCAGTCTGGTGTTATACCACAGAATCAAAGATTAACTCCTATAATCCAATCTGCAATTAAGGCAATGGATTTATAATTCAGACTGAAGAGGTGTGCTTTTCCCAGGAGTACTGCAAGGATACCATTTCCAATAGATCCTCACTTCACCCCTCCTTATCTTGATTTTCAGAAACTGGAAGAGGTCAAGGGGATAGAAATAAAGTGGAGACTGTCACACCTGGAGAATTACTTGATCATGTCAACTTAAATGTGCAAACACCTGATAGCTCAGGTGGTTCACTGCTTTTCAGATAGCTCTCACTAGACCCAGATGGAAATATTACAGGAAAACTATTGTATCAGAAAACTCTGATTCACTGAAACTGCAAAATAGTTTGCAGGGGAGGGTTAAATTCAGTGAATTTCTCAGTTTTGGAATGAGTTAAAAAAGGACCTGGTAGTTTTTAGTGTTTAGTTAGTATTATACTATTATTAGATAGTACTATAATACTACTACTAGTTATTATTATTAGTAGTAGTATAGTTAGTTTAGTAATTTTTTTTTAATTAAAAAAAAGCCTTACGGAGGCAAAACACTTTCCTTTGCAACCCTAGTCCCATGCTTCAGAAACAAGGCAGAAAAATTGTTTAAGCATAAAACATGAAATCAAACTACACAGAGGCTATAAGGAGCACACAATATTGACTTAATTTACAAAGCCTCTTTAGGCAGCCATTGAACCCAGCCTCCTCAGGGTCTCAGCTAAATTGCCATTGAGTCTGTTGAGTAATTAATTACCAGCGTATCAAAAGGAGATGTCTATTTCTGCGAAGCCTGGAGGAAAACTAAGTTCATTTGGGAACTTAGATTAAGCTGCATACAGGTCTTTTTTCCCTTCTCATTTTTTTTTTTTTCTTTTCAAGTAATAGGGGCTTACAGGTTATCATTCTCACAGAGCCAATACAGGTCTAGAACTATAAGGAGAAGCAATTTCCCCTTGCCCTCATCCTCCCAGACAGGTCTCTGCATTACTTTAAGTGGTCATTGAGAGGACCACACTCCTGACTGTCCCAAGGGTACCATCCTACAAGGTGATTTGATCTACCAGCATTACCATCACAGGAGCACTGAGCTGACAGTTCAGCTAGGAGAATTGCTCCTACTCCTCTGTGACCTACTTTGAAGGTTTTGACATGCTAAATCAAAAAGCTACTGCTTTTGCTCACTGCTGCAATTGTCCCATAGAAACAAGAGATGCAAATTAAACAATTAGTAACCTCTTCTTTCACATCTATGCACCAAATTACTCTGCCATAGAAAAACATAAATTTCTGTGTTAATTTTGCATAAATAAGACACTCTCTTTCTTGTAAATGATGACGGATCTAAATTTTCTGCAATAACAAAACCAGTCCTGCTTCAGCCTACACTTCACTGTACACTGTGTTCCTCACCTCAGCACACCCTTCAAAGCTGATCGCCCTCAGATTTAGATTAAGCAAACTTTTCTTGATGTGGCAGATTCTATGTTTCTTTTGTTGGCCTGGCAGCACTTAGAAGTGTGACTTTTGGTTTACACTGATAAAGCCTGAGGCTTTACTTGCAGGTTAAATATCAAAATACTGGAAAGCAGAGATCTAATAGAGCAAGCACAGAAAAAGAAACAGCTGCAAGTCCTACTTGAGATTTCAACTGAATAAAGAATCATAAGCATATATCAAGTGAATGGCCAAAAGCATCATTAAATAGATCTGTTACTGCATCCAGTTGTGTGATGCACTTAATGCACCTGCAGAAGAACACTTTAAGACAAGGGTTGTTTGTGAAGGGAAGCTTTCAAAGCTGGCTGATGCAAAACATGACCTATATTTCTTCCCCCTTTTTGAAGAGAGTTTATATTTCCTTGTCTGCTTTTTCCTGCCCCCCTTTTTTAAAGGTATCTGTTAATCTGGTATCTGTTAATCTCCCTTCTCTGAAACCTTCTGTACCCAGACACACACAAATCATTTCTTCCACTTACATGGTGAATAATAAAGGTGCATCTCTCCCATCTCCTTCCAGCTCTGCTTCATCTCCTCTGTTTCCAAATAATCCCCCACCCTTCAGTCTCTCAGTTTATGTCTATCCCACTGTGCCTATGTCACATCATCCCAACATCCAAGGGACCTTCCCCATCCTGCTCCTTCACATACTCTGTAGCCCTGTGCATCTCTTTTACATGTTGCCTTTGATTTGCAGGACACCTTCCAAACCAATGACCCTGGAGACAGTGATTTTCAATCAGACCCACCTGATTTCAACGCCTTTGAAGGCAATGGCTGTCTTTGCTATGAGCAATTATAATGCTGCCTGCAAACACTGTAAAGAAGCAGATGCCATCCTAGCTGAGGGCATGCTGTGATTTCTATCTCACTAGAAGCACCAGAAGGTGGTGAACTTCTGGAGTATGGGACATAGGATAAACAGTAAAATAAATTGAAAAATCTAGTAAAAAAGGCAAGAAAACCCATCTCTAATTATGTGGCTAAGAAAAAACAACCGAATGTACTACCAAGATAAACACAACAAAGAACACATCTAAAAGCCCATCCTCTGTCACTCAAATTTTATTTCAAACATCAACCTCTCTGCTGCACATGCAAACTATGATAATTTAATTCCTAGTGTCTTATATGAAGCAGCCGAAGGAGTGACCTCTCAGGTAGCCAGGCACTTCTGCATATTTCCAATTAGCATTCAGTCCCTTGTTGGAGTCTTATTTTATCTGAGCCATCGACACTAATTGTTTCCAAAGTTGTAAGTGATGGTAGCTTTTTGGGGTGGTGAAATGCAATATTGATAGTGATGAACTCCAAAAGACATTAGCTTCATTGTAAATAGAAGTAAGGTAATGCATTTAAGGAAAAGCAGTCTCAACTGGTTTTAGAGGTCACTGAACTCAGAAATGGCAGTTGCAGCTCAGCAAGAGTTCTTGGAAGCACAGCTGACAGCTCTATGAAATTTCCAAGTCAATGAGTAGCAGCAGACAAAACGGTCAATGAAATTTTGGACATCCTCAGGTATTGAGAACAAAACCAATGATGTCATTTTGAAACTGTTTAAATAAAACTTTGATTGACCACACCTTGACTACTACATGCAGTTCTGTTTGACCCCTGCACCTCAGGGAGGGAGTGGAGTTTAAAAAAGGCAGAGAGGAAGGGCAACTAAAATCATCAAGGAGACAGATCAGCTGGTATATCAGGAGGTAGTAAAAACACTGTGACTCTTCTGGCTGCAGAAGAGAAGGTCTAGGGTGAATGCAATACCGATTTACAGAACTGCAGAGGTAGTGAATAGGACAAATACTGCAGATATTGTAATGCTGTAACTATGGGATATGAAGCAAAACTATTAGTATGACAGCTTGAAACAGGTAAAAGAAAAATTTAGGCAGCAGATAGTTAAGAAGCTTCTGGAACCTGCTGTCATAGGGGGGGTTGCAGAGGCAGAGTATCTGAAAGTTCAAAAAGGGATTAAACAAATGAACGAGTTCAAAAATGGGTCAAAAAATAATAGGATGTAACACCCCTCACACTACAGTTCTGGTTTCTGGAAGGCTAGAAGGGAGACCGCAAAAGTATCCAGGCTTGTGTAGTTACCCTGCACAGTATCTCCCAGTGCTACTGCTGAGGGTAAGATTTTGGGCCAGGCAGCCTATTGCTCTAATGCACTAGGGCACTTCTTATATTTTTATTATGCTCTGCTTGCTGAATAAATGATAAATGATAGATGACTGCTATCTGGAAGTAAGCATATCCAAGAACATGGGCTACTGGAAAAATTAATAAAAGAAAACACTGATTTGTACTAAATTTTCTGGAGCAGTGCTTAGTCAAATTATTTTTTTGGGCAAACAATTTTTTCTTTTAAAAACCTCAGTGGTTCTGCTTGACATAAATTCATCTCATCTCCTATTACCGTAAATCAAGGAGAAGAAAGATTTTATGCCATCTCTTTGGGTTACTAGTTCACAGGTCGGTTGCTTGTATTACACAAGTGGAATACCACCAGAAAATAAATGAGAAACAAGTTACAGCTGTTAGAAAATCCTTCTAAGGAAAAGGTGTCCTGGGGCCTTTATCAGCAGATTTTGTTATTCTTCCTAATTAGTCTTCATTTTGGTAAATTCAGTTAAACAAGCCTTTTTGTTGTTCCCTCTAAGTCCTGGATTCTCACACTGAACTCTTTCTAAAACAGCCTGTTTCTGACTCATCGAGATATAACTCTGGTTTAATAGCACAGGATTGTTGAAGTAAGTGGAAATAATACTGGGAAGCTGAAGAGATAAAGAAATGAATACGAGGTATATGAAAAATTTCAGTTCTTACTAAGGCAGCAACAGAGGAGAGTCTTGCAGAAAGCAGCACTGGAACTCCATTTCTGATAGCAAATGAACTCGATCATAACTTATTCAGTGCTGGACACTCATGAAATCAGAGTCTTTTTTTAAAATGGTGCGTGGAAAAGTTTAGAGGTAGCTGAAATTACAGGGTTAATAAGTGTGGTTTATGCTATTTTCTACTACTTTTCTATTTGGAACAGGATTGTCAAGCTCAACCAAATGTTTATAAAGAATGACTTCAGCAGCTTTCCAGATAAAAAAGCTCCAAACTAGAGTCTCTATTTCTTCGATTTTCAAAAAACCTCAGTAAAGCTAGTTTCAAGAGAAAATCCACAAAGGACTGCCTTACTGGATGGCGTTCTGTGGAAAGTACCTCACAAAACCACCTAAAATGAAAGCTCTCTCTTCCCTTGGTCTCACTCTTATTACAGCCAGTATTTCTTGCTGATATGGTGTGTGCAGACAAGGCCATACAGCGGTAACAGCATCTATGACCAGAAATCCCACAGGACAGACTATATGAACAACCTGGAGGTCTGCAGAATGAAGCAAAATTGGTGTCAGCAAGGGGCGTTGCAGTTCCTACTTACTCTACTAAATCGAAGAGCTTCTTGGGTTCAGCTGGGGGTGGGTAGATGACTTCCTCTATGAATTTCCGGATACAGTTTGCATAGGCGGTGGAGATGTGGATGAAGGCCTCGAGGTTCTGCATCTGCCGTGCCAGCTCTAGGAGCCGCTGCGTGCCCATTGCATTCAGTTGCAGGGCATGTCTAAAGAGGGCAGGGGAAAGAAACAAAATGCACTTCACTGGAAAGAATATATCAAAGCCGAGCATTATCTGAGCGCCAAATAACGGAAAGGCAAGAGAAGAGTCACAGCAGAGTGAAAAGCTTCAATGAAATGCAAGGGCTAAACCAGCTTTCAGAGCAATGCTGTTCTTGCCACAGAATATCTCTGAAAAATTTTTACTCAATTCAAGGGGTCGGAGGTAACATTTCACTACCATCCCTACATCTAACATATTTTCCACCCCTTCCTGGAACAAACAGTTCCATGACCACCGTGGCATTATGGCCACTGAGGCACTATGGTTCCTATGGTGCCCACTCAACTTTCTCCTTAAGGAACCAGATAAACACATGGTTTTGGTAAGCAGCAAAGGGTCCTCGGGCCCAGAAAAACAGATTCATACTGAAAGAATACGCAATTAGAGGTACCAGCTTAAATTCCCAAGGAATGGAGAAGAGAACTGATAAGCGTAAGAGAAAAAGATTCCTGGTTAGCAAGGCTGACCTTGAAGCATCCAGCATAGCTAGAAGCTGTACTAGAGAGTATCTGCAACTGATCTCAGTGAACAAATGTTCAACTCTGTTGCACGCTTTGTACTGAAAGAAAGACACTTTTCCACACAGATGGAAAAAGGCTAAGGAATATGCAAGCTGTTCAGCCCAGGAGTTGAAGCTTTCAACAACACTTACAAGATTATGAATAATGCTATCAAGTACAGTGTACACTAAAGAAATTAATTATACTAACATTGAAGAGAGATTGTAAATAGTCCAAATGAATGAAAATGGAAGCTAAGAATATGATTAATGTTTGGATCATAGTATCTAAAGCCAGAGATACTAATTTTTTTTAGCATGCTGCTATTAAAGAATAGCATTTTCTATAGATTTTTATTTCCTCCTGCCCTTCTAGCAGGATGAATACTTCTACTTTAGTTTCTCTTCATATGAAAGTTACTCTCCCATGTACATTTCTATTCAATTGTACCCCTTCTGAGAGGGGCGGGAACAGAATTTCGCTCAGAATATGGATGGGCCCAGCATTGGTTTCTGCCGAGATGTTCAAAGTTCCTCTAGACTTCTAGGGGGAACATAATTCAACTCTGGTGATTTTTTACTCTTTATTTTTTCTATTTATATTAAAACTACATTAACTACAATATTTCAACATAACACAGTTTCTCAGATTTCTGCCCTCAAGAGTTCCATCTGGAGAATTCCCTTAACGTACTGCATGTTGATGCTAGTAATTAATTTAGTTTCTCTTTTGCTGCTTTTCCAGTATCTTGGTAGCTATGTTTTTACACCTCCCTTATCTATTGGCTCTACATATTGTGGTAGGCTTTGGGCTTCTGCCGTGTTTGAAAAAGTTTTTCATTCTTTGCATCATTAGCAAATTGCTGCTCAAAATTTTTATTTGAGCTGTAGTGTTGTGCTTTCACATTTAACTTGCTAGAACTTTGACCCATATGATATATTTTATTATTCAGATACAAGTTATTTGATTTTAACAACTTCTCGTATTTTGCCATTAATCATACTGGATTTTTCTTTTTCTGTTAAAGAGATTCACACGCAATCAGACTTTAAATAGTTTCTACACTGCCTGCAAGCAGATGACCATTTTAACTTTTTAAATTCCTTCTAGCTATCGTCCTTATTAAAAATGTAGTTTCCCTTTGAATTTACATGACACTGCAATGTATTTTTATAGCATGTTCATTCAAGTATTAATTTAAGAACACTTATGGCTGTTAATGCAGTGCAGTGCTTTGCTACTTGTATCTTGAGCCAGGTTCAACACATGTCTCAAGATTAAATCAGGAGCTGCTTCTTTCTGGTGGGATCTCTAATCAGTTGTTACAAAAAGCAATTATTTATGGTGGACACAATGAAGATCTATTTAGCCTATGCATGAGCAAATGAGGACTGATATTAATACTTGTGTCTTCTACTCACTGCTTTAGGGTTTTTCAAAAAACTGTGAAGATTGAGCAATCTAGATCATCCACCTTGATTCGTTGACCTTTACGAGTTGCACAGAAGCACTTACACATCTCATCTTGCTTTAGTGGCTTCTTTCTGCTGTTTGTTCTTAATGGAAAGCCTTCCTGGACAGGCACTCCCAAGGGAGCTCCTTCAGAAACTGAGCATGTATTAATTACACTGAGTGTTGGGTATTTTAAAGCTTATGATAGGCTATTTTCTTAAACAACATCTCATTTCCCTCTTCAGTTACTCAGTGACAAAGAAAGGCCATTAACACTAGCTTTAGAGATAGACACAACATAATTTCACTTCAAGCTGTCTTCAGCTAGTTCTGCCAAAACATCTCCCTCTTGACCTAAACCACACTTTTTTCTACCCTGATTTTAGGTCATACTTAACTCCCTTACTATATTACAACCCAAGCTTGCAGTACTTCCTTCTGCTCCCGTGGAAATCTGCCAAGATGCTTCACTTTTGACGTGCATATGGACATGACATTTTCATAGCATTTACATTGCACATTCAGTGCAGAACCACATGTAGCATGAAAATGTAATTGGAGAATTATTACCACAGCTATAAAAGAGATTAACTAAACGGTGTGCTATGGGCTATTGTGCATTCTGAATCATGCTTAGCAAATACAGGAATCAAGACATACTTCAAGGGCTCATCGAAGCGAACTGTTGCTGCGCAGTGGAAGACAATATTGACCCGGGTCAGAAGCTCCTCCTCATCTTCAGCACTGATGGCCAGCTTGGGCTCACTGAGTTCAGCATTAATAGGTTTAATCTTCTCATGGAAATTAGGGCAATCTTCTCGGACCCTGTCAAACACCTTGAAGCACAAACAGAGAGAGATCAGGTACAGAATTAGGCTACTGAGATCACTTTGATTAGTAGCCAGTCTGGTTACATCAAACAATTAAACTGGCACAAAAGAGAATGCCTTCTTTCAGAGGGAAGAAACAAGTAAGCTGATAAAATAGTTAATTCACTTGTTCCCTCCCATCGGAAAACCTCACAGGGGTAACAGAACAAAAATAGGTGAGGCAAAGCAATGCCCTGAAGAGATTAATTAATCTTCTCTGCACTACTCATTTCCTGGGACAGCAACTGAAATTCCTGTATCCCCACATCTCCTGCAACCATTTGTTACTTGACCTCAAAGGCTGCCTGTAGGACCATAACAGGAGCTAAAGAGGAGTAGGGCAGAATATGGAGTGGGAAAGCCTGTGAAACATTAGACTCAAACAATTTTCTTTATGGTTTTAAAAAGGACCTGAGGAAAGGAGGGGAACAGGGCACATTCTGGCTCCTCCACTTCCTTTGCTGCTCCTTGGCTACTGTCACTCCTTTTTCATGTTACGAGGCCTGTGGGGAACTGCCTTTGGGATGGAAAGATAGGGAATCTCAATAATCCATACTGCTAACGCTGTTGACTTCGACCAGCAATTCAGCGTGACTGGACAAGTGTGCAGCTAGCTGGCCTCTCAAGCTGTCTTCCAGCCCTTTTTTCTGAGGATGATCCATAGCTCTTTCCAACAGACATTTTCTGCCCAGCCTTCTACAGAATGACAATGCTGTGCATCTATCCACTAAAAAGATCCCTACTTTTCTATATACTGTTCTGTCTGATGACTTGCCCAAAACCAGCATTTGGCACCCTGCTTTGCCTAAGATTTGAGACAGCAGGTACCCTGAACAAGAAGACAACTGTGTACAAGCCTTTTGAAAGGAAAAGGAAACCAATACTGTCATGACCTGAAAGATGCCTATGTGAAAATAGCAGTTTCCTCAGTTGCCATTTTTACACTGTGAGTAGCGCAGAGTCACTGGTAAGAGTATAGTATGACTGGGTGCAGTTCTGCTTGTGCCATGAAAGCAAACAGCTACTGCAGGTTCCACCTGGAGATCCTTTATTTGGTAAATCTCACAGGCAAAGAAGATGAAGCCTGAATTTCAAAACACTATGTGAGTTTTCTGGAGTAGGATTTGAAAAAATCCTTTTAAGCTTTAGAAGCATCTGTTCTAAGGATTTTGCATTGCTGGCCAGCAGTATTGTATTTGAGCAACTGAATAATAGCAGTAATAGTAACAGTTAAGCCCAAATAGCTCCTCCCTTTTGGGGGCGAAGTGGCAACAAGAAAGGTAGAAAGAATAAATAGAATAGAGAGGCTGTGGGATCCGAAGAGGTGTAATCTAAGTTTCAAAGGATAACAACACTTCAAAGGTAACTAGCCTACTGACAGGAACGGCTGAGTAATGGGACAGACTGTTGGTAGATGCTGTGGCCACTGCCTTTGGACACACTTAAGAACTGTCTAGATAATCACTGCCAGGAAAGGCAGGGAATAGATGAACCTGCCTTGGGGTAGGAGGATGGTCCAGATGGCTTCTCAGTAGCTCTGTGGTTTTCGGGTGTTTCCTCTACTCTCTAGTTTACCCACCAGTAACACCAAGTTTGCAAATCTCTTTACTGTCATGGCCTCTTGTTTTCCTAGAGATTGTTCCATCTTTGATTTGCTCAGTGTTTATGTAAGATTGAAAATTTTGTGACATAAATTAAACCTACTAAAAGAAAAAGACACATGAAACATTAAATTGATACTAATAGCAGTATTTTATTGTTTGACTAAGGATTACCATCTTTCCGCTTATCTGACAACCAACTCTAGATAAAACTTGATGTTCTCAGGGATAAAGAAATGGTAAGAAAAACATCAGCCTTCTCCACTATGCAGCACACTCTGTACTTGACTTCATGTATTTTTCTTTAGCATACAGCCGCACATCCTTCATAATTCTGAAACCTGAACAAGTTAACAGAAGTAAGGACATGATAATGTCGTTTATTTTCTCTTAGTTGCACCAACTACATGTATGTTTCATCAATGAAGTCTAGGCCAGAGAATATATTTCTAGACAGAGAAAGTTAATGATGGACAAAGATGTTGGTGAGAACCAGCTGGACTGTGAGAATGCAATTCCCAACAACTTATCTTCAGAAATGGGTACCATCAGCATTAATGTCTGTAAAAAGCTTGTCTTCTAAAAAGAGGATTGGCTGTCCAGATATGCATTGTCTCATGAGAGATCACACACATGCAAACCCTGATGAGATACAAAACGGAAAGATTTCTCACAGAACCCATGTAAGACCAAAGCTATCTTGTAAGAGGTTGTCGTGGTTTGGGCCTGGTTGGCAGCCAACCACAATGCAGCAGCTCTCTCTCCCTTCCCCTCCAGCAATGAGAAGGGACAGAGAGCCAGGCTTGGGGTTCGAGATAGGACTGGGATGGGGAAAAATTCCCCTTTATTATCACGAGCAAAAGGCAGACTCGTTAGGGGAAGAAAAAAAGAACATACATTTATTACAGACACTAACAACACATAACAGAGTAGGACAGTGAGAAGCATTGCCACATCTTGAGAACACCTTCCCCCCACCCCTCCCTTCTTCCCGGGCTCAGCTCTGCTCCCGATATCTCTACCTCCTCCCCCAGTGGTGCAGGGGCAGGGAATGGGGGGTGCAGTCACCGCTGCCACTTCCCTTAACTTCGGTGAGGGGAGTGTCCGGAACTTGTTCCCCCTGCTCCATCGTGGTCCCCCTCTCACAGGAGACAGTCCTCCACAAACTTTCTCCGACATGAGTTCCTCCCATGGGCCGCAGCGTTCCCCACACTGCTCCGTCATGGGTCACTAACTTCCTCCGACTGGATTCCCTCCCACGGCTGCAGCCCTTCCCAAGCTGCTCCGATGTGGGACTCCCCCGCATGCTGCAATCCTCCCAGTGCTGAATTACAGCAGCGGGGATACCCTTTCCCATGAGACCCCCGGCCTTCTTCGGGCACAGAACCTTGATCATGCAAGCAGAAGCCACAGGCCATAAATCAATGTCTGCTCCACTGTAGACCTTCATGGGTGGCAGGGGGGGATGCCCTGCCGTCTCACCACAGGATACAGGAGGGTCTCTGCTCCGGCACACCTCCCCCCTCCTTTCTTCCTCTGTTCCTCCACTGACCTTGGTGTTCATGCAGCTGCAGCAACTCCTCCTCACAAGTCCGACTACACGTCACCACGTCCCTTCTTAAATACGTTATCGCAGAGGCGCAGCCAATTGGCTCAATTTCCCAAACAGAAGTGGAGCTGACGTGGAGCTGGGGGAGCTTCGAGAAGCTTCTCACAGGGGGCCGCCCCGATAGCCCCCTCCCCTGCCACCAAAAAACTCCACCACTCACTCAACCCAGGACAGAGTTTTAGGAATAATTCTGCATTTGTTCTATTGCAAAGAAAGTGCAAAACTCTACCCAGTGAGAGTTATTTTATACTTGTTTGATTTTGGCATAAATGATGCAAAGGCAGAGAAAGAATGAATCTGCCCTTTCTCCATTTCAGTCATGGTACATAAAAGGAAGAGTAGTATTTCTGCAGTGCCAGCCTTGCTCGATTTTGGACAGTTTTATTTTGCCTAAATGCTGTCCCATCCTAACGTTCCCACTGTATATAACATCCCCTTCAGTTTCTGTGCCTACTACCACACACCACTCAACAGCTGTAGTTTTTCACCCCATCCAATGATTCAGTACATTTCTCTGAAGGATGAAGGCAATTTCCAAATGCAAGCTCACAAATCAGCATACTGCTTTGGAAACCTTCTGGATCACAAGAACATTCAGTTCATTGCCACTATTAAATCAGGTAACAGGAGCAGCTGTTTAATCAAAGTCTGCTGCCTCTTTTATGGCATCTGAAGATTTCAGACTTGTCAGTGCTTTACAGGGAAGTGCAAGAAGATTTAAAGACAAAACAAATGCAGCTTATCCTATGCTGCTTCCTATAGTTCAAGGAGTGCTTAACATAAATCACAGAATCATAGAATCGTTTGGGTTGGAAGGGACCTTAACAATCCTCCAGTTCCGAGTCCCCTGCCATGGGCAGGGACACCTTCCACTAGATCAGGTTGCTCAAATCCCCATCCAACCTGGCCTTGAACACTTTCAGGGAGGGGACACTGTACAACTTCTCTGAGCAACCTCTTCCAGTGCCTCACCACCCTCACAGGAAATAATTTCTTCCTTTTACCTGATCTAAATCTACCATCTTTCAGTTTTAAACTGTTACCCCTTGTCCTATTACTACACTCCCTGATATAGAGTCTCTCCCCATCTTTACTGTAGGCTCCCTTTAAGTACTAGAAAGTCAGTATAAGGTCTCCCTGGAGCCTTCTCTTCTCCAGGCTGAACAACCTCAACTCTCTCAGCCTGTCCTCACAGGGGAGGTGCTCCAGCCCCCTGATCATCTTCATGGCCTCCTCTGGACCCGCTCGAGCAGGTCCATGTCTTTCTTACTTTGGGGGCCCCAGAGCTGGACACAGCACTGCAGGTGGGGTCTCACAAGAGTGGAGGAGAGGGCCAGAATCACCTCCCTCAACATGCTGGCCATAGTCCTCTTGATGCAGCCGAGGGTACAGTTGGCTTTCTGGGCTGTGAGCTCACATTACTGGCTCATAGTTGCTTTTCCATTCACTAATATCCCCAAGTCCTTCTCCGCAGGGCTGCTCTTAGTCCACTCATTGCCCAGACTGTATTTGTGCTTGGGATTGCCTCGACTCATGTGCAGGACCTTGCACTTGGCCTTGTTGAACTTCATGAGTTTTGCATGGACTCACCTCTCAAGCCTGTCCAGGTCCCTCTGGATGGCATCCCTTCCTGCCAGCATGTCGACCACACCACACAGATTAGTGTTGTTGGCAAACTTGCTGAGGGTGCACTCAATCCCACTGTCCGTGTCTCCAACAAAGATGTTAAACAGCACCAGTCCCAATACTGACCCCTG